AAACTAATATTTATTTAATTTCATTTTTCACTATCTGACATATAGTTACACACAACAGGGAACTATTACCTCTGCGATGGTGGCTACACAAATGGTCTGGGTTTATTGGCTCCATATAGGGGTGTGCGGTATCATTTGGATGAGTTTGGTGAAGGTAACCGAGTGCCTACAAACCATAAAGAATTGTTTAGCTTAAGACATGCCAGAGCGCGAAATATAATTGAGCGAGCTTTTGGAGTATTGAAGATGCGTTGGGCTGTCCTTAGGAGCAAGACTTATTTCGACATACGCACTCAAAATAAAATTATTCTTACCTGTTGTCTCCTTCAAAACTTCATCCGGGCTACCATGCATGTAGACCCAATGGAAAATGAGGGTAATAATATGATGAATCGACATAGAAACTCCGAAGCCCATGACCCCTTTGACTATGTAGACGTTGTTGAGCCAACGACCGAATGGACAAATATGCAGGATGCTTTGGCTATTTCAATGTTTAATGAATGGGATGGGCGAAGTTGAAGTGAAGCTAGCAATGTTCAAAATTGGAACTCATCTTTTTTTTAATTGTACTTTTCAAAAAAAATATGACATTGATGTTTAAAGAAATGTGATGTGAAAACTCCAGTTTGAAATGTGTGATTTGCCTTTATTCTCCTTTTTTGTACTTCTTTGTGTGCTTTAAAATAATAGACAGGCCTATTTTTTATATCTTGCCTTATGTTGCTGATTTGTTGATTATACTTTATTATTGTGCATGTCTTTGATTATTAGTTACTCATGGAATCCATTGCTAGCGGGGGACGCAATTCACAGGCTGCCGGACAACATCGAGTTTGGAATGAAGATGAGGACCGTGCTTTGATTGTAGGTTTGCGCGATCTTGTTGCCCGCAGCTGGAAATGTGACAATGGACTTCGCAATGGTTACGCCATCATATTAGAACAACACATGCACCATATATTCCCGGGAACTACCATAAGAGCGGAACCTCACATAACATCCAAGATCTCGGTCTGGAAAAAAAAATTATGGTTTGCTTTCGGAGATGCTTGCTACTTCCGGCTTTGGATGGAGTGAAACATGGAATATGATTACTGTGCGGGAAGAGGATGTTTGGAAAGACTACATCAAGGTTTGATTTACATATATCATTTCGTGATTTGCATTAGTAATAGTAAGTTCAAATAAACATTTACATTGTTTTATTTCTTTTCATTGTTTTAGGCTCATCCAAAGGTCAAATCTATGCGTTACAAACCATGGCCCCTTTTTCTGGATTGGGTGGAAATTTTTGGAAAGGACCGCGCAACGGGAGAGGGGGCAGTAGGTTTTACTGATGCGGTTAATGATGTCTTACATGATACGAATGTCGAAGTACCGAGCCCAAATCCCACTCAACACACAGGGCCGAAACACTTTGATTATCCTCAAAATAACTTTGACTCTTTTTCGGCTCAAGCAGGTGAAAGTAGTGCATCCGGTAAGTCTAAGCGTTATGGAAAAAGAAAGCGTAATGTTGAGGTGGAAGACAAAATAATCGGGCTACTGTCCTCCGTTTGCCAGAAGACGAACAACCATCTTTCAGAACTTTCCACACGTGTCGGTCAACAGGTTGATGCAAAAGTGCAACGAATTGCCGTTTACGATGCACGAAAAAAAATTCCTAACTTAACAATGGATGAAAGGGTCATTATTGCTCGGTACGTATCCAAAAATGTTGACGAGATGGAACTATTTTTAGCCTTGACGATGATGGAAGAAGCTCAATGGTGTACCGGATTTTGAGCGGGTCACCGTAGTAACAAAACCCACACGAATTTGTGTATATCATCGTCAACCTCCCTTTTGTCTTTCTGTAATGTGAACTTCATCACTGTTCTTAACTTATGTATGCGGATGTGAAGCCGTGAGGTTGAACGATGCACGTATTAGCCATTTTGTTCCGCTCCATATACTTATATACACGCTTGATACGTGTATTAGTTTTAAGCATGTACTTCCTATTTATGACATTGCAACCTACTGTTTCATTGGTATTTTGCTTACATTTTGGTTGTATTTATGTAATGTGGATTGACATTGTAATGCATCATGATGTATGGAAGTACTTATTTTGAATAGAAATATATGGACTGCCTATTTGTTTGTTTTACTTTCTTTTGTTATGTAACAGAGGTGTGCCTAAAGCTGAAAGACTATGTTTTGTTCAAGGTTGTAACTTGTGCATATTGAATATAAATGTGTAACAAAATTTCTGACATACAAATTAAACTATGGATTTATGACAATGAGCCATGTTATTTGACTTATAAATAACATATTCGCTTTTCACTTACAAATAATATAATGGCATCTTCAAGTTTTGTCCCTGTTCATTAGGCATTAGTAATGTTTTTTTATCCAAATAGATTTACCACTAATATATAGATACTCAAAAAACTTATGCCACTTCATCATATAGACTTCACAGTAGAAATACATGAATTGCCCGTTAATTTCCTTCATGACAAGTGGTTCACTCATGTCCAACTAATATAAATATCCATTCTACTTATTTCATTATAATAACAACAAGCATTACAATTACAAGTACCAACATCAAAAGTAATAAATCATAAATTTTTTTAATTTTATTTTTAATTTTGACATCTTTGTTGCTCTGACGATGCACTCCAACTTTCTCGCTAAATGGATCGTCTTGTCTTATGCAGTCTACGTCTTCATTTATTGGATTAGCCCAACCAACGAATCCATCTCTATCACAAGCGTAATACAATTTCTGAGAATTCGAACTTCGGGAGCCAACAATCTTAACGCGAAGCTTGAATCCACATTGATGACATATTTTTTCCTCATACTTGAGTGCACTTGGCCTTCCAAAATTTAGAGTGGTTGATGTTTCAGACATTTTGAACCTAAAAAGAAAAGAAATTAAATTATATATGGGGAAAAACATTCTTACACTACATATTTATTAATGAAAAGCTATTATAGACTATTCACATTAACTTCTCATCAGAACACCATATGTAAAAAACACGTCATGGAAGTATAGTCTATTACGTAATAGCACATGGAAAGATTAGTCCACAATATACAGAAATCGTGCCATGTAATGTTCCTATTACATGGAAGCATATGTGATTGACATATATTTTTCAGACCACAATCTACAGACTCATTTGACGAAAAGGCAGATATAAAGATTAAACAGAAAAATATTCAATTTCAACAGAAATGACAAGTAACTGACGAGCAACAATAAGACATACATACATGGCATCTTTACTAATACATACTGATCTGACAATAAGACACAATTAAAGAATGAACACTACCAACTATTGCAGTTACAACTACATATGGACTCTGAGAGATATCGAGTGGAAACATAAACTCGCCAAATCACACAACATAATTTATCAAAGAAGGCCGAATCCCTAGCAACAATAAGAGAACACTACATTCACATAATTTGTTTTGTTGCCTACAATATCGGAGAAGCCGCTCACCTTCGAACATTTGACAAATCATCATTCCCAAAATCAGAGATCCTAATTTACAGTACAAGTCGTATTGCCAATTATATCAGAGAACCCTCAAGCACAATATCAGATAACCCTAATTTAGGGAACTTCAATTATTATCGTGTACAAAGGAACCCTAAAACCTTTAATCCGCCTTTGTTAAATTGGGCGATGAAGATTCTTCTACAACACCTCAATGGTTGTGGGTTGCTGGAATAGGGTCTTCGTGTCTTCAAATAATGGGGATGAATTTGTCTCCACGATTTCGAATTTGTAATGGTAGAGGTCGTTGAAATCGGACCGTTGACTAATTATCTCCCACCACACAGGTTTCTATTTTTTTTTTTTTTTTACCGGTAAAAAAAATAAAAAAATGAGTTTTTCCCTTACGACACCCGAAAGATGGGCACACTGTCAATTTGGGGCCTGAATTGTTATTTTTTTTTTCTCAAATCGGGACGTAAATGTTGTAATGTTGTAAAACTATGAAGTTAAGTGTAGAATTAAAAACTCATTTAAAAAACTATCAAAGATTTTTTAGATGTTGTATTGAAAAAACTCCATTTAAAAAAAGAGCACGTTTGGCCATGGGTGTGTCTTCTCTGATTTTATTTTTCCTTTCTACATTAGATAATATTATATGGTATGTATAATATTTTATAGTCATGACGGACTAGTTAAACAGATCTGTTTTATTCAGCATTGGACACTACAATTACGACCATACACAAACTCGTCTGTGCATCGCACGAGATGCTTACTAGTATTAATAGTAATAATAATAATAATAATAATAATAATAATAATAATAATAATAATAATAATAATAATACCTCCAATTTTTTTTTTAAAATGTCATTTTCACTTTATCAACTAGTAAAAAAATAAATTCGGTTTTGAATATTTTTTACATAGTTTTCCATTATTTCTCACAAGATACATCTCTTTTTTCATTAATGAGGGTTATCATTGGCAAAAAAAATTCTTAATTATTGTGCAATTTTTTAAAACGATATCTATTAATCAAAATAGGAGGGAGTAACAAATATTTGAATTTCTTTATGTCCGAAACAAATCCGAAAAAAATGTGCAAAACAAGTACCTGATTTCCATATGTATGTCTTAAACATTGAAATGAAAGGATTATCACCCAACCACACACATTTATTGGCGGATATAAATGACCATCAAATTCACAGACTCAAGCTAAAGCAAGCTAGTGCAAATGATGATTTCCATTTATTAGACTTGATTGCTAGCTACCGAAGTAAATGGCGTGTAATGAAGACCTGCTATCACCCTCAAATGCTATATAGTTACATGCTTTTTTCATGGCAGTTCACAACCAACAAAAAAACTTCACAAACGCAGTCTGGTGTGTAGGTTGAAAAAATATTTTATTTTATTATTTTTTTTTTTTTTTACATACCAAAATTCATTTCCTAATAATAACTTATTTTATTTTTGTTTCACCATAACAGGTTCATGCAGCACTGCCACGTATTGGATGACGAGCCTGGAGAACATTGCGCGCCGCTTTCGGTTGGAGGGGTGGACCGAGCTTGAAGAGAAGGTTTGTTATCGACTTTTTTTTTTCAGAAGTGTGATGAAACAAACGACGTCGACAAGGTTCCCGTCCTCAATTCTCTGTGGTTTAAAATAGCACGTCAGTTATCAGAGCTCATGCAAAAGGATTTCTCATGGATGAAGGTTCGAGAGAAAATCCATTGTCTTCAAGGTCATTACCGTGAATTCCTTCGCTTCCTAACTGTACTGGGAGTTCGAGTGCATGACGACGGTGGTTTGGTTAACGTGAACAGAGAGTACTGGAATGTCGTCGGAAAGGTATATATAATTGGTTAACATTTCATTTTCTTATTTATTTATTTAACTTTATTTTGCACAGGGCCTGTAAAATATTTTTTAAGTGGAAAAAAAAAAATTTAACCAAAATATGAACTTCACCAAAATTTGCAGGAGTCCGATATGGAAGTGTTTTTTCGTTGGAATGGCTTCAAATGGTATAATCATTGTATGCAGCTGTGGAACATACGGGGGGCAGCTGAAGTGGACGTCCAATCTAACCCCGGTGCGAATAATGAGAACCCAATTTGTCTAGATGATACTATATCGTATGCGTGGTCGGACGATGGCATGGAGGTTGAAAATGATGAATATGAAGTGGGTGAATATGATGAATATGAAGTTGAGCAGCATGTTGGAAGCCCAATCCATGATCAACCACTTCCTATGGATCCGCAGTTCAACGTAGACGACGATGATGATTTAATGGATCACGAGTCGAATGTGGACTCGTGGGTCGAATCCGTGTGAAGACAAAAACTTTTCGGGACGGCCTTTCAACTCTTTTTGGTATTTTGGTCCCGAGCATATAATGTAGGTTTATAACCTTAGGAAGTATGTATGTTGCATATAATAGTGTGTGCGTATTTTATAAATAGGTTGCCCATGAATTGCTTCTTCTTTTTGTTTATCAATCTCCCAATTTTTTGGTCTTTTGCTGCCTATTAAAATCTAAGGGTGGAATGTAAGGGGGGATTGGATCATGGCTGCCATATTATGTATAATTTTAAGTTTAATGTGAATATTGGTAGTGCTTATTAAAGTACTGTACATATTTTGTACTCCCTAATTTAAATCACTGCTCATATAACAAATGATAGCATTACATTGCATTAAAGGATAATACGAGATGACTTATTTCCATAAAAATCGATCCATCATTGGCAATGTTGTAACTATATTTTGTAAAATCATTTTTAATTCAAGTACTTATATTGGAAGAAAGTAATGTACCTCTCACATACACATTTATGTAACACAAATGAAGGTAAAATGAAGTTGTTTTTAACATGTAGGATTTCATTAATAATACAACTTCACAGAACAAACATAATAACATTACTTAATGGCAATAATACATTGCTCAACAACCAGAAATAAGGAAATAAGTTCATCTAAACGTAGTACGGTACTTAAACAAGAAAATAAAATAATTTAGTTTCATGGGTCACTAGAAGACCCTTTGCATGACGATGGTGCCAGCCTATGAGGTGGTCGGGGAATGCGCAATGGTGTTCCACCACCCCGCCTTAGAATCTTCACATGTGTATGTGTATTCACTGAACCTTCCAATGAAGCGTCACGTTCTCGGGCATATCTTGGCTGAACTCCATCGTTACCAATTGAACCGTGTAATTGTGCATTGGTCAAAGAAGAAACCGAGAAGACATAGGA